ACCGTGCGGGGCACTGCGGGCAGGGCCGCACCGCTCTGCAACTTCCCCACCCTGCAAAACCCAGCCCGGGGACGGAGCAGCCCCGTGCAACAGCCTGGGGCAACCTGCGCAGCATCCACACCCCACCCAGCAAAGGAGACGGGGCAACAGGCACAAGCTGCAACAAGGGAAGTTTTGATGGGAATTCAGGGGGAAAAAAGTGTTCCCCAGAGGGTGGCGCAGGCGGGGACAGAGCCCCAGCGAGGTGGTGGTGGTGGCAACCCCGTCCTTGCAGATTTTCCCATCTCCGCTGGACGAGGCCCTGAGCTATGGCGCTGATCCTGCACTGAGCAGGAGATGTACCGAGCCCTCCAGCGATCCCTTCCAGCCAAAATCTTCCCATGCGTCACAATCCCTGCCAAGGTCTGCACAGGTCCCCGCGTGGCATCTGAAGGTCAGCAGGCGGCCAGCTCACATCCACGACAGCACCTTCCCGGCCGCGTCCTGCCTGCCTGCAGATCGAGATCTGGCAGGACTTCTGCAGAACCAGGACTCACGGCTCTCCCTGCCCGCACTGCGTCAGTGCCGCTGGTTTCTGCTGCCCCCCGCCCTCCTCAGGCCCTGCTGAGCCCACCCGGAGCTGCACGTGCTCTGAAGGAGGGCAACGATGGAGCATGTCCTGCCCCACAGACGATAAAGGCTTCTCCAGACCTGCTGCCACATCCCCCTGCAGCCAGCCCAGCTCTTCCCTGGGCAGGAAGGACTGAAGCGCTGCGCCTCTTCCTTGTCCCCAGGCTGTCCCCGAGCTGCTGAGCCCAGGCAGCAGGTCAGAAGGTGCAGCTGTGTGAGAGGGATGGGTCAGCGCTCAGGACCATGGCAGACGTACCGCACGAGGTTTGGGCGTGGACAAGTCTGTAGGTGCCCAGAATGAGCCATGACCGTGGCACAGCTCAGGAGAAAGAGGGGGACAAGGAACACCACAGGCAGCAGCATGGGAGACCTCCTACCAGTTTCTAGAAGTGGGAAAAAATGGAAAAATAAGAGGTGATGCAGAGCAGAGAGCTGATCTCTGAGAAGTCAAGCAGCACAGAGACAACCATTCTCCAGATCACAGAGTGGAGAGTGTATTACGGCACGTCCCTCCCTTTGCGCCAGACAAGACGCAGCGCTGGAGGGCGAGCAAGAAATGCCGGCTGCACGCTGGATGCTGCATCGGCACCTGTACGGGCCCAGGGCCCTGAAATTGCCTTCCTCTCCTTCCCTCCCAAAGTGACGATCGTCCCTTCCCAGCGATGAAGGATGTTCACACAGAGCAGCACAACACACCCAGTCCCACCGGCTCAGGAGTCCAGCTTGATGAAGACCTTAGGCCTTGAGAAAATTTTGATGGCCTCCTCGATCTGGGAGAGCTTCCTCTCCAGCTCTACTCGCCTCTTCTGCACGCTGAGGGTGTCTGCGCGCACTGGTAGCATCACCAGGTCCTTTATCAGCTGCTCCTGGCCTGTAAAAAAAAAAAAAACCAAACAAGTTGTGTAAGTCAAAAGCAAAGAACTCCATCCTTTTCCTAACACTACGACCTCATCCTCAGTCACGAAAATGGTGGCAGCACTGGAACAAGGACTTTGAACACCCATCCTTCCATTCACAGCTCAGCTGGATGAGGACCTGAGCAACCTGCTCCAGCTTTGACGAACCAACGGTTGGACTAGAGACCTCTGAAGGTCCCTTCCAACTAAAATCTATCTATCATTTTAAGAGCAATAGTGACCCTACCATCAGGTCCACTGGACAAGCCTGCTCCAGAGAGCCTGTCCCATATCCCGCACGTCCCACCAACCTGAAGGAGATTGCTCTTTCCACACACAGCTCCCATCCCAGCTACATGCCAGGCAACTCTCCAAGTGGCAGGAATCTGTGCCCCAAAACTCTCTTCTCCCTAATCCTGGCTAGGGTCACCCATTTTTCTGAGCTGGAATCCCCGTTTCTTTTCCTCTTACTCCGCTTCAGATCACCCAGGGTCTCCAGCCGCTCGCCTTCCGGCATCATGGTATGACCGGGTGGCGTGTCGGGATCCGGCAGGTTTTGCAGCCGCTCCTCCATCTGTCTGCGCCACAGCTCCTTCCTCTCCAGCAGGCTGGCGAGGCAAACGAAAGCCCGTGTCAGCACATCTGTGGGGGGGTTGCCCAGGGATGCAGGCAGAGGCCAGAACGGAGCCCTTCAAACCCCGCTGGTCTCCATGCCGTTGCCCGAGGACCGCAGAGACCTGCCCTGGACTAGCAAACACGCTCCACATGCACTGAAGGGCTGCTGGCAGGGACGCACCGAGGCCGACACGAGCTCCTCGGGGACAAGGGCTTCTGCTCCTTGCTTCTGGCCCAGGCCACCGAGTCCTCTCAAAACCATCTGTTGGCCAGTGACGGAGTGAAGTTGGTCAAAGCGGCTCAGAGGCAGGGATCCTGGCAGAGAGCAGCAGGCGCAGCCGAGAGCCAAAGGACTGACACCAGTCAGTCCCAGGACAGGGTCACCCAGGAACGGTTTCCCACTCAGAACCCCAAAATGCAAGTCACTAGCTGGAGGTTCCTCAGACTCCGGGTCCAAGGCAGGACGAACGCTTGTGAGGCAGAGTGAGCTACCTGCCTCGTCAAAACCGGACCTTTGAGTACGGAAGCTACATCACGTGGAGCAAGGCTTACAAAGAGGTGAGAGCACATTTCTCAGAGCATCCCCACGTCAGCATCACTGTACGACAGCGAGCAAGGGAGGAGGAGACATGATTCTTCCTGAGCCCAGCCACGGTGGCCGTGGGGATGTGCGTTAAGAAGCCAGGAGGGATCACATTTATTCCCCAGTAAATCGTGCTGCTTGCGTCTGGCGAGAGCGCCTTTGCCTCCGGCCCCCCCCTCTTTCTATGCAGAAGCCGGGGGACGTGGTGAAGGGAAGTGGGCTTCTTATGGAGTCTCGCGGACCAGACAGGGGCATACGTACTACTGGGGGACGTGGCCCTTTTGCTTGGCGTTGTACTCCTCCTGCTCCCGGTGCTTCTGTTCCAGCAGCTCGGCCAGCGCCTGCAGGGACTGGGAGCGGCGCAGCGGGGCCCGCTTGGCGTTGCGGGCGTTGTGCTTAATGAAGTCGATGCTCTTGCCCTCCACCTGGATCTGGAAGAAGAGAGAGGGAGGCGGCAGGGGCTGGCTCAGTGTACATGTGCAGGCAGCTGCTCTTGTCCCCACAAGGGACAAAACGAAGAGGCACCCGCACAAGACACCGAATCGCAGGTGTGTAGTACATACCCTCAGCCCATCCCATCCCCAGTGCGAGCCTGAGAGGAGCTTTTTACCAAAAGCTAAGCCCAAAACTGGCCTTTTTAAGGTCCTCAAGCTGACCCCACGTCCTCAAAGCCAGAAGGACAGAAAGAACCAGGCTTGACATACTCCACGTGGCTCCTGCTGGTGCATTTTGAGCCCATCGGGGCAGCCAGAAGGTCAGAGGTAAAACTAGTCAGGCCCTCGCCAGGCCAATAAAGGCAACAGAACGCCTGGCAGAGCATGAATGTAGCTGGTCCTTGGGGCATTTCCCCAGAGACAGCACCCTCTGGCACAGCTCCTCTGGTGGTCGAGACAGGGGAGAAGGTCATTGGATTTGAGTTTAAGGTTTTCTCGGGCTTCCTCCTTAGGAGGAGTTTATGCCTTGTTTAAATTAAGTCGCTCCACAGCAAGTGGGAACCAACAAACCGACAACCCCTCACTCGCCAAGGAAAGAAGACATGAGTCACGGAGCAGTTTAGGACCTCCCAGACAGACTACCTGAAAGGTTTAACTGTTAATACTGATTTAAGTCTCCTTACTAAAAAGCACACCCCTTTCCCAAATTTTTATCTAACATCCGGAAGCCAGAGTTCCTATGAGTAAGGTGGGAGCAGACTCCAAATCCCCAAGACCTCCTGCAAAGCCCTGGGAAGAGCAGACTTGAGATCACCGGCACTTCTGCAGTGAGGAGGTGGGATTTTCAAAGGGAACTTCACGGTCTCTTTAACTACGAGCAAGGATGAAGCCAGAGGGTGGTATTCGCAATCTTTGAGCGCCTGGCTCACCACCCCAGCGACCAAGACCCTGCTCCTTCCCTTCAGCCAGGAACAGTATTTACAGATCTCCCTGTTCATGCAGCACATCTGACCCAACACTTCAGAAGAATACGTGAAGAGTTCAAAGCAGGAGCAATGGATGAGTGCCAGAAACCCCTGGGGTGGATGCAGTTAGCGTGCAACTCACCTTGGTTTCAGCACCCAGCGCCGCTGGAACCTCTGTGTCTGCTCCTGCTTTCATTCCGGCAGGCCTTGGGGAGAGCGGTCTGCACGGCTTGATCCCAGGGCCACAGCGAGAATACGCCCTCAGGAATTTCAGAGCCTCTGGATTTGGAGGTGGGGAGCTCTCCTAGGAAAGGTGAGAAAACATACACTAGTGGAGGGAGGCTGGAGCAAAGAGAAACCCACCCAGCAAAGTTTGGGTGGTCAACCACAAGCTCAACCACAAGTTTCCAGCAGGCAGATGACAGCACGCTCTTTCTGCCATGACTTGGCAGGAGTTCTTGAGGGAAGGCAACCTGTACTCAGCCAGCGAAGGCAAACAGACTGCCCACAGCGACGAATCAGACTTGGCAACTGAACTTTGTAAAGAAACACTAAAAAACCCAAAGAAAAAGTCTGCAGAAACACACATTCGGAGCATGCATAGCATTGACTGGAGAGTCCCTAAGGAGAGCAACACCAGATAACCCAACAGAGAAACCCACCAGACCTAGGGACAATCTAAATGGACGGACAGCCCAAACCGACAATCATCATGACTCCTTCAAAAGCAGAAATCTTCCTGTGAAAAGGGCAAATGGCAGTGTGGAGCGAGCATGCTTGAAAGCTGAGAGACACACATGCCAGTCTCCCTTGTTGGCAAGGCAGAACTTGAACTCCCAGAAGAAGCCATCCCACCTCGATAAATCCAGAGCATGCTACAGAGCTCTGCTACAGCAAGCTTTAATGAAATGGCACAGGTAGGCACAAAGCTGACGCTAATTAGATGCTGCTCTCAAGTGCTGCTCTGTTCAGCACCCCAAATCTGTGGTTATCCCACTCTAGAAGGAAAGAGGAGCAGAGAGTGAGGGAGTCTGGTAGTTTCAGGAGGGTGGAATTGCATCTGGGAGGCATCTTCAAAGGCTGTGGTCAGCGTTGGCACAAGGTGACGCCGCTTGATGTCCAACTGGTGGCCTGCAACAACATTGTCTGAGGCAGACCCCAAACAAAACCTGAAAACTGGCAGCTGACACTATGGCAAGAGGACGACCTTACAGTGAATACAAGAGGGAGCGCACAGGGCAGCCCCCAGATCTTTACAGGCACCCAGGCTCTGAGCTGCTCTCTCAGCTGACCTGCGGTCCCCTCGAGGCAGACTCCTCCTTGCCTGGCCCACGGAGCATGGCAGACCTGAGGACTGAAGGTGGGGTAGGACGGGAACATCAGGAATTTTGGCATAAGGACCGGGGCACACGATGCCCTCAGTGCTGCTCACGGTCCGAAGACTATCAGTCTCTTTTCAACAGGAGCCAGGAGAAACAGATCGCTCCGGCAAGTCAAAGAGAAGTGTCTTTACCTGGTGCGGTCAGTTAGAAATCAATTCAGTCTGTGATCTTAGGAGCACGCTAGCAGAGCGTGGCGTGCCCCATCTTGCTCCACGGGAGCATTGCGACTGCCAGAGCCCTGAAAAGGCAGCTGCTACAATTAACAGCCCCGGGGACAGAGGAGAGAGTAGGAACTCCGTATTAGACACCAAGATGTAACCGAATCAACCTCTGAGCAGCAGCTCCACAGAAGATGGGGATCCTTCACAGGAAACACCCCAGCTCTAGGAGAGCTGCAGCAATGTGAGTTAAAGCAACGTGAGTCAGCACCGGGGCCTCCTGCCACCTCTCTCTGGAGGAATCCAAGAGCACGAGTAACGCACCACGCAGAAACTGCCTGCGCAGACACCAACCCCTTTCCCCAAAACAAAAGAAGAAATGATCTCAATCTTCTCTAACCCAGAGGATTTGTCAAACAAGAGCGTAGGCTTGTGTTCCTAAAGCACCTGTGGGTTTGATCCTGTGTGTGGACCAACCTCTGAGAGAGGTTGGTGGCACACCGGGAAGAAAGGACACAGCATTTGGAACCACTGGCTTGGAAATCATCTTGCCAGCTTTTGCAGTTATCCACACACATAATTTTAGTGTCGAAAGTTGGCCCGAGGGCCACAGACCAGAGGGAAGCAAGGCAGAGATGAGAAAGAACTCGAAGGCTCCAACTCAGGATGGGAGCACCAAGGGAAGGCTGCAGAGACAGACCAGAGACGGAGGCTGTGAAGGCTACCAGGGACTCGCAGAAGGACAAAGCCCTCTCCTGAGGCTGACAGGAATGTGGGATCCAACAGTGCAAGGCTACTCCGGAGAGCCAGCGCTTACCTGCCAAGGCAGCAGCCCTGCACTTCCCCGCCCCAGGCAGCTTCTCCCACGCGAGGCTGAGCTGGACGGGAGCCCCAAGGCCTCTCCTCCAGGAGGTCGCTATGATGGGCACGACCTGCCCTGCCATGGAAGCCACCCCATCCACAGGAGCCGCAGTGCCCAGCTCTGGATGAAGGAAGAGGCCACTGAACGCAGAGCTTACCCAGATGACAGAGGTCTCCCAGGTCTCCACTGACAGTGGATCCACCCAGAGATAGTGATGGAGCTCTCCTTCCCTCTCCCAGGGGGCCTTCACTTTCTGCACAAACAGGTACACTTCTACCAGGGCAGCCGCTTTGGTGCATTTTTTTACCCTTTAAACACCAGGAACTCACAAGGGGAGAAAAAATTATCCAGAGAAAGAAACAGAAAGAAGCCAAAAGCAACCCAAAACCTTCACAAAGCCAGACACCTGTTTGTTTCAGCAGCTGAGAAAGCCTGAGAACAAGGCACGGCCCCGCATCCCCTCTCCCACAAGCACACGTACAGAGGACAGGAGGTACGTACACCCTTGCAGGTTGTGCGGATCTACGAGGCCTCCACCTTGACCGCCTGGAGATGCCGCAGCGGTTATTCACCAGGACAATTGCTCGGAGAAGAACCTGAAGATATACGGCCCACTGTGGGTCCACAGGGTGGCAAGAGTTGGACCGAGGTTTGATGCAGCCTGAAGACCTACCTCTGAGGACCATGATCTGATCTGTGGACCCCAGACAAGCATTGCCCCCAACACTGGGAAGCTGAAAAGCTGGCTGGAGGCACCTCTAGACAGGGAATATGGCTGAGGGCTGCTCTGCACCCCGCAGGAACCGCCTTTAGATCCCTAACAACCGAAGGACTGAGTAGGAGCATCCAGGCAGAAGGTGTGGTAAGATTTTCATCTTCTCAGCTTCTCCTGCATGGGGGGGTCTACATGGCCGGACAGGATGGGGATTACAGCAGTTGCTCTCTGGACCCAAGCCACACGTGCTCACTCAGCACACAGCCCCACTGTCACATCTGCCCGCCGTGCCTCAGCACCGAGTTGCCCCCAGATCCATAGGTTCTGGGTCTCCCCCATTTCCACTGTCCCACAGAGCCTCATGGCAGAACTGCATCCCCAGCCCGGAGAGCTCAGGAGCTCAGTGGGTACCGACCTGCAGTTTAGCCTTCACCTTTGACTCCACGTTTTCATATTTCTGGGATTTCCACAGAGCTTTCACAGGCTTGGGCTGGCTGTGCTCTTGGGCTCGCTCCTTCTCTTTGCACTTCTTCTGAATCTCCTTTATCCGCCTCACACTCTCCTTCTCGGGGTCTTTTAAGGGGAGACGCAGCCTTCACCCCTCAGGCCCTGCCGAGGGATGCAGGCTCTTGGAGCACTGACACCAGCGCCCACCGCTCCGTCTCCAAAGCCAGTCCAGCCGCCCGCAGAAATAGCAAGCTTTCCCCTCTCCTGCAGACCCAGCAATCTGTGCATCTTCCCCGTGTTAGATACACACTCCCGGACTGACCCTCTTCTGCCAGAGGATCCCACAGTGCCCAGCACAGGTCTGTGTACGTTACTGGTGTTCGCAGACTCCCTTGCTCTGAAGGAGCATGCCTTACTTGTCCCGGTTGGGCTATGCCAGACAGGCCATGCCAGCATCCTCTTGAGAGCAAGGTCAATTCCCAGTCCAGCATCCCACGGTGTTTCTGAAGCAGAGGGCTGGTTAATGGCAGCTGCAGAGCCTTCAACCCGCGCCGTTTCTCGTTTCGGGATCAGCTGTTATCCCACATTCAAGGGGGACATAATCAAAACTGGATTGTACTTTTTTGTTTTTGAATCAAAAATGATCCTTCCTTGGGCCCCCCAAGCCAGGGAAGATCTCAGCTGACACAACCAGACCCTCTTCCATTCCCCTCCTGCTTTGGCACAGCAGTTGTGGCAGCCGCCAGCTGGCACCAGGCAGGCCTAGGGGCAATGCCAGCACACGAAGCCCATCAAGTGACAGCCTCAGCCTTATCTCCATTCTGGACCTCTGAACGTACTCTGGGTCACCTCCGTTTCGCAAAGATGTTCTCAGCATCCACATATACAGAGAGTCTTCCCAAATCCTGCTTGGCTTCACTAACAAGGAATTCCCCAGGCTAAACATCATCTACACATTAAGATTTCACTTGATCCCTCTTTAAGTTTGACTGAAAAGATACTGGTTATATTCTGAAGCAGCAAACTAGAAGGGCTTGATTTATTCCCAGCATCTCTCAACAGTCTCTCATCCATGACTAGTTCCTCAAGCCCAAACTAAACAGCATCTTTTTTACAGTTCCTCTTCCCGTTCCACACCTGGGCCAGACTGGAGTCAGGGAGGGCGCAGCAGCACTGGCTCCAGCACGGGCAACGGCCTGGGGCCACCACGGCCAGGCCAAACGCAGGAGATGGGGCGACCAGTCCTGCAAAGCTCAAGCTCTCCTCAGGCAGCAGAGCCAAGGAATCCACCCAAACCCCTGATGCTTCACCCCTGGCCCCAAGCGCAACTCAGGCCAGCAGCGACACGGCCGTACTTACTCTTGACTGGCAGCCCCTCGCCAAGGGAGATCCCTTCGAGCTGCAGCAGGAGACTGAGTGTCCCCCTCTGTCCCTTCTCTAGGAAGTCCTTTCCACTGGGGCGAATGCGAGGGGCTGGCTGGATCTGGCGGGCGCTGCCCAAAGCTGGGTATGCGTTGGGAAACGGGTCCAGGGGGCCAGAGGTAAAATCCAGCTTCTGAGCATTCCCTTCCAGCCTCCCTCGAGCTACAGAAACAGACACAGAAAGAGATTATCAGGAAATGATCTTACCTCGTGGTTTTCTTCACCCACAGCTTACGAACAGTGCTGAAAACACCCTCTCCACCTCCACCTTCTGCTTTCCCATCTTTCCACCAGCTGTACAGACCACCTTCAGGATCACCATCCACGAGGCAGCAGAAGCACTGCACCAGCGCGAGTGGAGACCGTTGAGGACGCCAAAGAATAAGGACATCAAACGGGTGAGCCGTGTCATGCCAACATACAAAACCGCACATCCGTAGCAAGCATCAAGGACTCACCTGAGAAAGGGCGTTTGTAATAGTTTGGAAAGAGCGTAGGGTCTGGAGGAATGGGTCCAGAAATCCTGGATGGCCCTTCACACATCCTGCCGTCACTCTGCCTCCGCCACGGAAACCAGCCACCACTGAGAACAGAAATGAACAGTCCTCAGGAGCCACCGAAGAGGGATGTTTTGTGTATATATATATATATATATAGGTGAACTTCTGACCTTCATTAGAGAGCTCGCACCCAGCTACAGAGATGACCTGCAGGTAGGAAACCACCCCAAACTGGACTCCATGCAGGTGAGGCAAGAGATCCAGCAGCACTGACCCTGTTGTGGGGCTAATCAGCATTTTTACCAGCATTGAACCTGAATTGTCCGCAGTTGCTGTAATATCGATATCTTCGGTACAGAAAATCCTTCCTGGCTTGGCTCTCCCATCCAGGAGCACGTAGTACAGACATGCAAGCAGGAGCTGAGCTGCTACAGCTGCCCTGTGTGCCTTTCGTCAATACGAAACACAAGGCAGCAGGAGATCGTCTGACACATTTTAGCCTTAGATTTGAATTATCTTGCACCTCGGGCTCCTTCTAAATTGCTCCTGTGGTTCAAACACAACCTACCCAAAGCAAGCTGAAGCCCCTGACAAACCTCTCTGCTGTATCCTCCGTGAGACTCAGCAGTGCCGTTACCAGCCTGGAGCAGGATGGGGCTGAGCTGCAAAGGAGACAAAGCGGTTCGCTCCAGGAAGGGGCAGACGTTGAATTTCTAGGGAAGAGCCCTGAGACAAAACCAGCCCGGCTGCCTCTTGGCTCTCCAGGAGAATGGAGAGTTACCTGTTCAGAAAAACATCTTTTTCGCTTCTAAGTAACTTTTCAATGCAGATCAGCAGAGACCAGCACAGATCCGCAAACCCCTGCCCTGGCCCACACCGGTCCCTGCTGCCTCTCTCCTCCCCATGACATGAGGAGCACAGATCCTTCCAGCACAGGGGCAGCCAGCATCTATTTCCCCAGAATGCTCACCAAGATCTTGTGGACAGCATTTTATCGCCTACAAGAAACTCGAGGGACTTGGTCCCCGCTCAGAAAATAAGGACGCAGGACGCCGCACCAAGAGGCGCAGACTGCCGGTGAGCTTTTGGCGGATGCCACGAGAGCCTCGATTCCTCATCAGAGTCACGCCGTGACTTTGACAGGCGCCAGGGCAGCTTGGCTGGCATCACTGCTGTAAGAGCTGGGGCTACAACCTGCATGTCCTGACTCCCAAGGCAGTAATTTAAAGACTTCCGAGACAACGCTATGGGAAGAACCCTTTTCAGGATCCTCCGCATGCCAGCACTGATGGGACGCAGCATCTGCAGTTTAATTTATAAACCAATAAACGATCAGGACAAGGCTGAGTGAGTCTGAATCATAGCAACTAATGCACTGCAGTCTTCCTTGCTAAATCACCCCTGTTGACATGAGATCCATTAGCAAAAAGCTGTTATTCATCTCCCAGACACAACTGCAGAGGCAATGTAAGCAATGCTGACTATTGCACACCAGCATGCGCATACAGTTCGTACCCAGCTTCTCTGGAAAAGCTATTTCTGATGAGCAGACACAGACTCAGCCTGAGATAAAAGGACACTGTCTTGGTATTATTTAATCTCCTTGAAAACGGATTCAACTAAGCCAGAACAGGCTCTCTTAGTCTAGGAAAAAAAGCGTTCACCACGAGATTGCTCCAGAACAGCTCCTGGCCTTGCACCTCACATCTGATCTTTGAACTCGCCTTCAAACCCAGTAATTTACACGCAAAATGACAGGCTGAAATCAAGACCTGTAACAGAGCAGACAATTATTGTGGAGGATTGAAGGAGGAAAGGCAAGCTGATGGGAGGCGGGGGATGGAAGGCTCATTCGATACCTTCGCACAAGTCACATTTCACATCCCAACAGCACCCTGCCCTGCTGTGGGGAATTTGCAAATGACACCCACTCCCTGATTTGCAAGTCACATCACCTCTGGATTGGGATCTCGCAAGATCAAATGTTATGACAATAGCAAGCACCTGGCCTACCCAGGTACCTACGGCGAACTCTCCCACGTGGGACACAAGCCCCTGGGATCGGCCTCCCAGCCCTGAGAAGCAGCAGCCAAGCCCCAGTTACCGACGATCGGTACGGACTTCCCAAGCTGCCGCTCTGCTCCTGCCGACCACGGGCGTATTCGGGGGACGCAGGTGAGAGAACGTCATGGCTCACTTCTGCCAAAAGGGGATGTGCAGACCTCTGCTGCCATCCCCATCCTTCTGCTTCATTTCTCGTGATGGCTCTGTAACGCCAACAGTCCTGTGCTGAGCCAATTCAACTCCCTACCGCTGCAGGAAACAAGTCACTTCCTTTGCTGGGTTAGTTTTCTGTCTGTCTAATCTTCTGTCCAAAAGTAACCTGGCTGTTACCTCCACGGGGGGATCAGAGAAGCACTGGAGCAAGCACAAGGGAAACACAGCAGGGGCCCATGCTTACGAAGGCAGAGGAGGGAGGAAGAGTGACCCGATCACTGGCTCAGCCACACTCTTTAACTTACACCCAGGAAAGCATCTTCTCTAGCACCGCGTTAGAAACCTAAACATCAAGAATGTAGTACCTGACCTGTTGCCACCAGAAAGACACTATTTAGAGCATTCTCAGGCTATGAGACGCAGGCAGACTCTGCGAACGCAGCCCAGTTAGGTCCAGGGAAAGACATACATATGTGTGCAACTCCTCTCCCTTCTTAACCCCCTGCCAGACCGCAGAACTCACTAGGGAAGCAGCGACGCTGCTCCTCGTCGCAGGGCTGCACCAACCCTGTTCCCTGCTCCCCTGAAATCAGCACAGCGACAGAAGAGGCGCAGGGCAGTTGCCAGAGTAACCCAACGGCTCCAGCATGACTTACTCACCCAGCACGAGCCCAGCTGGCTGCTCGCTTCCCCGCCAGGACCACAGCTTAATCCTGGACTAGGAGGGGAGCAATGCAGGCACCAGCCCTACCTCTCCCAGAGCCTCCCTGTAAGTTTAAGGACGATTAAATCGACTCTTTATGCCCTTTCCCCAGCTTACCAAGTGGTAAAAATGATACTTATGCCCCCAGTAAACTGAGATCTTTCAGAGCCCGTACGAACCACAACTTCCTTTTGTGGCTTCTTTTTGGCATTGCAGTCAAGGAAACTACGAAACATGGGAATGGACAAGGCTTTGGCAGGTGTTTTTCACAGCCCTGAACCTGCCGCGTCTGACTTTGCGGCACTCCCCCTTCTTCACAGATCCCATTTTCACTGTGCCTGGGTCCCTGGCCAGGAAGCTGCTACCACACACAGAACTGAAGCAAGAACAGCTTCATGCCTTTATGAGCCACCCTCTGCAAAAAGCATGGGAAAAAAATCCCACAGCTGTGATAAGCTGTGATAAGCAAAGCAAGTCATCTGCAGCAAATCAAAGGGCTAATCTCCATGCAGCTGGTCTTGGCTGTTTGCTTCCTCCCTTGCTAGTTTTAGCTGAAATGGAAAGTAGCATCAGGATAACTTCCGTGCCCCAGGGCTGCACCAAAACGGGGGCACGTGGATCTGGGGCCGTGCCTCCTGCAGAACGGGGCATCAGGAAATGAGGTCAATGTGCTGTGAGCCTAACCAGGGATGTTAGTCCACACCTAAGCTTTCCCCCTGCTACCCTCTGCAGATTACAACGGGAGAGATTAATATCCTGCTTTTAATACCTCATGCAGGTTCCCTCAGGTACCACCAGCTCTTCCCCACCTGCCAGTCTCCAAGACCCATTTTCTCTTTTGCCTCTCTGAAAACAAAGAAGCCAGGTACGGCGATACCGGTGTTGGCACGTGGACATCTGCTCTCCAGGAGCTGGGCACGTGTCCCCCAACAGCCCTTTAGGAACAAAGCCAGCTTGTACCGCCTGCCCGAGGAGGCAAACGTGCGTCCTGCAGCACCAGCCTCGAGCAGGGGGTGAAGGTGGGCAGAGACTGATGTGGGTATTGCAGAGCCGCAGCCAAGTCCTCTCTCAGGAGAGCCAGGAATGAAGGATGACACCAGAGAGGCCCCACCTTAACGCGTGGGATTCTCTCTGATGGGAGGACGAGCCATGTGCTGCGATCACAGGACCTGACGTGCAGCGATGGAGACCGGAGCTGTGTGTCGCAGTGGACAGTCTCCCCTGGCCGTGCTGTCACGAACCCTGTGCCAGGGCACACGCTCAGACCCAAGACCCCACCGAACAACCCTGGATACCCCTGAAAAACCCTTCTCGGCTCCGTCCTTTCCCGTGTGCCGGGGGAGCGG